ACACGCTTTTCAAACAGACCCAGAGAAAGACATGTGCTAATGTATATATAACTGTACTTTAAGCCTTAATGACATGATTAAAATAGAAAGCTAACGTATATATCAGAAGAGCTTCTGGGGAACGTTCTGGCAAGTTATGAACAAACGTTCTTCAGCAACATTAATATAATATTTGTTCAAAGTTCTCTGGTCTTTAATAACGTTCTCAAAACATCAGCACAAAAACATGATTCATACATCGATCATGGAGCGCTTTAGTTGGACGTTCATCTAACGCTTGTTTCTTGTTTGAGAACATTTATCATCCAAAAAGAAACATTCCCAAAATAAAAAGGAATGTTAACCTTTGCATAAACAAGAAAACGTTTTTAAAACATTTAATAAACTGGACGTTTCTATGTTTTCAGAACTGAATGGGAACGTCAGCGAAACATTCTTAGAATATGATTTTTTTGTTAGCTGGATTTTAAGTGTTTTTAAGATGCGAGACATAAGCATAAGCGTATCGTATGATGTAAAACACACCGTGTTCAGTCTCTAGAGCCGTCGATCCTATTATAAACACATTATTTGGGTGCATGTGAACATTCCTCCATGTGACTCCAGTCATGTGACAGTTCTGTGTGAGAAACAGGTCGTAATTTCAGTAATTCAACTTAAAAGGTGAAACTAATATATTATATAGACTCATTACATGCAAAGTGAGATATTTCAAGCCTTTATTTGTTATAATTGTGATGATTATGGCTTAAACCCCAAATTCAAAATTAGAATATTGTGAAAAGGTTTTCATATCTGTAAGCCATAATCATCACAATTATAACAAATAAAGGCTTGAAATCTCTCACTTTGCATGTAATGAGTCTATATAATATATTAGTTTCACCTTTTAAGTTGAATTACTGAAATAAATGAACTTTTGCACCATATTCTAATTTTTTGAGTTTCACCTGTAATGTAGAATTCAGGAACCCGTGTTATAGCGCCACCGGTGGCCGTTTAGCGAACTGCACTCACTGCTGATTATCGTAACGTACGGAAGACTGAACATGATTCGAGACCCCGATACACTCACGCCGAAGTTATTTTCTGTTCTTCATAAACATAAACACACAAAAATGAGAAAATAGCAGTTCAGAAAGCGTCTGATAACAGAGATGTGGATGTTTGCAGCAGATCTGAGATTCACCGGCACTGTTATGATAGTTTAATTATAAAGTATATTTAAAACTAAATAGATCTGGCTATGTGAGACTATAGTTTGAATGAATCCCTTTTCTTTGAATTACACATTGACATTACAGTACAGAACGGCTCTTTCCCTGAACATTGTAGAAGCATTCGTTCGTGTGTGTCTGAACGGAAGAGAGGCTCACAACTAAACGTTCTTCACTTCAAACCAGTCTACAGGCTTATAGGAAACCTAGGACGTCAGATAGGTCATTTTTTAAGTGTCATCACAAGCTGTTCACACATTGGCAATAAAAAAGCGAGTAATAGAGGTTCATAATCTCTGTCTCTCAGTGTCTGAAACGCTTCGATCGAAGATTCAGTCTCTCTAAGCTCCGCCTCTCTGAGAGCTGCTCTGCTCTGATTGGTCAGAAAGCAAACGCTCATTATCATATCTGAATCTCAGCTCTTGATCACAGTGATACGAACAGTAACGATGGCGTGGGTTTCACCGTCTCAATCTCAGAAAACAGCGTCTCCTCGACACGAACCGAACTCTCCCAGTCTCAGAGACACTACAGTGTTTGAGGGCGGAGCTAAGAGACGCTGTTCAGCCAATGGGCTCGCATTATGCAAATTAGATACAAACCTATAGAGGTTTATGCATTGCCGTCCCTTTCCCGCGGGAACACTGAGCGGCAGAAGCGCTGCGGAGTGACTGGAGTTAATAGAGGAAACTGAGAAAACACGAGTAAAACAAACGATTATCAGTTTAAACTAAAGCTTGGACTCGATATAGTGTTTCTTACAACTCACCACAGATCCAGTGATCATGATATCGACATGCAGCGGGAATCGTGTTTCCTCACATTTATATGAGCCTGATTTCAACGCCGGGGAAATACATAAAGCAAATTAGCCTGTGAACGCTTTATATAAATACAATATAGGTCTAAATCCATGTGATCACTTACTATATCAATGTTATATATATATTTCATATTGTCCAGCCCTAAAACTTGTGTAGTTTTTGTCAGTGTTTTTTTAAAAACGTCCAATTATGCAGAATATACGACGGTAAATATGTAATTGATGAGTTGTCAATATAATATATAACAACGTATGATTTTACCCCATAATTCAGCATATTTACACACAGTAATAACTGTAAATCCACCGTTCTCCGCCTGGATCCAGATGTTTCTGTGAATCACAGCGATCATTTGCTTCTCTGTTCTGTAGCTTTCGTCCGTCTGTAAAATATACCTCAGATTTCTTGTCAAATCTAGTTGTCCAGTCGATCTCAAAGCTCTTTCCCGGTTTAGATGTTTGTCAAGTCAAGTCATCTTCATTTATGTAACGCTTTTAACAATGAAGATTGTTTCAAAGCAGCTTTACAGAGATAAACATACAATTTACGGTAACAGAGATTGTTTTGGTGTTATAGGGATTTTTGAGTAATGTTATTTCCAGCTAAAGTTAGTGTGTTTTTCACGCTGAAAGCAAATGCTGCGCTCTCATAACCTCTACACATGAGTATACTCACATAAAGCCCTTTAAAGGGGCAGTTCACCCAAAAATGAAAACTCTGTCATTAATTAAAGACATTGTTAAAATAGTCCAAGTGACTACAGTGGTTCAACCTTAAGTTTATGAAGCGACGAGAATACTTGTTAGTTTTATTTTACGCACAGAAAGTATTCTCGTCGCTTCATAAACGTAAGATTGAGCCACTGGAATCACATGGACTATTTTAACGATGTTTTTACTAATGTTTTACTAAGTTGTAATGACGTTGGAGGCACAGAAAGCTCTCAGATCTCATCAAGAATATCTTCATTTGTGTTCTGAAGATGAACGAAAGTCTTACAGGTTCGGAACGACACGAGGGAGAGTAATGACTGACAGAGTTTATATTTTTGGGTGAACTATCCCTTTCAGTAAATATTCAGGTAATGCGCCGCTGATTATCCGCAGTGAAGGATGTTTGCGTCGCCTGATCCTCAGTTCTGTCCTCAGGGAAGAGCATCTACGGGAACACGTTTGCGGACGAGAGCTTCCGGCTCCGGCATCTGGGCCCCGGATGGGTCAGCATGGCGAACGCCGGGCCCGACACCAACGGCTCGCAGTTCTTCATCACGCTAGCCAGAGCGCCGTGGCTCGACGGCAAACACGTGGTGTTCGGGAAAGTCTTGGAGGGGATGGTAGGATCCTGAAACACACATTTAGGCTCGATGATTTCAGACGCAAACACAGAATCCAGTCGGAAACATTTAATTTACTGTCATTTACTGGCAGTATGCACTAGTGTTTGTGAATATTAAAGCCTAAAAACACTATTTAAAGGGGTTATGACGTGCATTTTTTATTTTATTTTAATATGTTCCTTGTTATAGCTAGAGCTGTGCAGTGATTAATCGCATCCACAATAAAAGTGTGTGTTTACATCATATATGTGTGCTGTGTATGATTATATGGTATATATACACACACATGTATATTTTTGCATGTATATACTGTACATATATATTATATATAATCTATTTTATATATAAATAACACATTTTTCTTAAAAATATACATGCATGTGTGTGTATTTATATATACAAAATAATTACGCACAGTGCACACATACACCGGTATGATGTAAACACACTTTTATTGTGGATGTGATTAATCGTTGCACAGCTCTAGTTATAATGTTAATAATGTTTTTTGCACAAAAAACAAACGTATATGCGAAAAAACGACTATTTTTAACCCTCATTCTGAGCCTCTGTCTGAAAAGATCAGTTTCTAATGTGCGTCTGCAATATGTAATTTGTCGCCGCCTGGATATATTTTACATATACAAAATATTGTATTTTCAAAACGATAACGAAGGTGAAGCTTGATGACGGTATGAGGGACAGTGGAGCGATGGGAGATTGACAGAGATGTATAGAATTCACGAATCATATTAATGATATATCAGCTGATAAATGAGTTTTTGTATCACCTGTAGGTTTGATCACACTGTGTTATGTCATCGTAATGAAGCTGGCAGGACCGTGAGATGTAATTATATATTCGCTGTTACTGATGTGCAGTGTTGTGTGTAACGCGTTACAGTAACGTAACTACTTTTTCGGGTAAAAAGTAGTGTAACGCGCTACTACTGAAAATTTGGTAACGAAAAGTAGTTCCTTTTTCAATTCGGTGAAACGTTACTTTTCCCAGGGACAGATTTGACAGCGAACTCGTCATTTGACAGATTTGACAGCGATCGCCATCTCCGTAGTGAACGCCTATAGAGAGAAATGCACATTTTGGATCACACAATCACAGAGTAGCCTATTTCTTTTCATTTTGAATAGTTTTGTTTAAAGACATTTCAAGCTTTCTATAGATATATTTCTCATGTCTGTGAGGCATACGCTGAGTTTCGGTTAGTTTATGATGAGATGCTCCTGTTCATGTGCAATGCAAGTCACCGCGCCGGCGCCTCCATGTCATGATTAATGTCTGCTATATTTGCTTCTTATTTATTAAATCCAGGCAATTGGTTGATAATTTTTTTTTATTAAAATTAAGATACAATTTATACGAAACGAAATTCACTTTAAAGAAAGGCTTTCTACCGAACAAAACTTAATGAAGTGGTCAAAATCATGTCTGACCCACTCCATGTCTCCCGATATATTGCACATCCATCTTCCTCACGCTGTTCACTATTCATAATCAATATAGATGTAAAAAAAATAGCATTATAATATTTTAACAAATATGAAACTAAATGCGCTTATTTAATGGCTACAACACGTATAGTAGGCCTACAGACTCTCTATTTGTACAAATTGCTGCGCATTCATTTAATTCTGAATTTTGCACGTTGAAAGTTTGTTTACGTGCATAGTAAAACATATCTCCAACATTTATCAAGTTCACGGATAATTGTGCGTACATTTATTAATCATTATGATACTAAAATCATAATAAAGTAGGCTCTACTATGTACAAAAAATCAGATGAGCCCAGAATATAAACGCAACGTGTTTAATTACACGTTAAGCATTTTCCTCCCATAGAAAACCATTATAAGAACGCTTAATTTGGCTTAATGCAGATTAGAATGTCCCCTTATGATGTCGAAATAACAAGATTTCTTTTTTTTTCTTCACCATGCGGTTCAGGACTTCCATAGAATACAGCCTGAATATAATTACTTCCAGAAAGTATTTTTGGGGGTGCTAACGGGGAGCTTTGGTCTTTCTTGGGGCCTTTCTTTCCAGTCCCTCCCTAGCGCCGCCCATGCATATGCCTATCCATTAACGGACATTTCTTCATAAATATTCAACATTTTGATATATGCATTTATGGCATTATATATGGCATTATGTATAGTAGAACTTTATGTAGGCCTACACATTTAGGAACAGATATTGGGTTCTGCCCAAAGTCAAGCAACATAGAAGTAACGTAAAAGTAACGAGTAACATCATAAGTTACTTTCCATATGGGGTAACTAAGTAAAGTAACGGATAACTTTTTTTAAGAAGTAATGAGTAACGAGTTACACTACTTTTAAAAACTTCCCCAACACTGCTGATGTGTGAGTATTGTTCAAATGATTTGGTGTGTTAATGCTGCAGTTTTACACGTTTAAAAAAATCGAGCTAAAAGTACATTTGAACAAACACACAGTATTTGCAAGTAATGGCTAAATATTTTTGTGCAACATACATTTAATTTCACTGCCATAGACTTGGTCACCAGACGTGCGTTACTGAAGTACAAACAAAGTGCAATATAACTGTAGTGTACAGTAAATAATATATATTTGCTAACCTGTCTATTAACACACATGCGAGAGCGGAGTCTCAGATCAAGTCAAGTTTGTGGCAAAACTCTCGAAACATCTTGAAAACGTCTTTTATTTCTCCGTTTGTCCCAAAAGTTGATGGATTTTTTGGGATTTTCTGTACTCGCCAATCTATAATCGTGAGCCGATGACTGAACGACACAACAGCGGTGTGCCAGATATTGCATCATAGATATGCATACATAGATCCCTCATTAGCGGCTTACATATTTCATAGAGACCTAAAAATAACATTTTTGTTATACAATTTAACAATTTATTAAAAGTTTAAGTTTCATGATTTCAATTAATTGCGCTTTTTAATTACTGAAATTTAATCTAACCATTAAAATCGGGAAAAATTTAAATGGGAGGAAAAAACGGAATCCAGAAAAATTTAAACGAAAAAAAATATATATATATATATTTAAAAAAAGAAAAAGATGGAATCTGGGAAACAGTAAGAGTGATTTCATAGAATCCTTTGCATAACATCTGTACACATTAAAAGGCAGAGTGAATGATGTCACTGGAGTAGTGAACCAATGGCAGCGCTGCGAGCGATGACGGTGTGTGTGTGTGTGTGTGTGTCTGCAGGCTGTGGTTCACACCATTGAACTCCAGGACACGAACGAGAGTAACCTGCCGTACACCGAGTGTGTGATCGTCAACAGCGGGAAGATCGAGGTGAAGGATCCGCTCGTGGTGGAAGTGGAGGGATGGTGAACATTACTGATCTCACACACACACACACACTTCATCTTCATATCTGTGTTGTGCTGTGAGTGTATTGCTGTTAGGTCCTCCTCTTAAACTCTATGCACTGAGGCACTGTGAGTGTCATGTGATGTGATGTTAATGTTTGTCCTGCATTAACTCTCACTGTACTCCAGACATCACCTGTTAAATTATTACCTGTTTATTAATATCTGCACGTGCCATAAGAGACACATACTTGAATTCTGTTTCAAATGTTGATGATTTAAATTATGACTTTGTTTCTAATGACCTTTAGGAACACAAATAACACTCTCTGTTTCAATAAACTGTTTAAATAGATGTAAATTTGGTTCAATTTGTTTCATTAGTTTGATTTGCATTTTTATTTAGAAACAAAATCTACCTTATAAGATCCCGGCGTTGTTCATAATGTCCCTATCAATATGTGTGTGTGTGTATGTATACTACCATTTTAAAGTTTAGAGTGAGTAAGATTTAAATATATATATTCTTATTCATCAAAGGTGAATTAAATTGATCAAAAGTGACAGTAAAGACATTTATAATCATACAAAAGATTCTATCTCAAATAAACGCTGTTCTTTTGAACTTTCTGTTCATCAAAGAATCCTGAAATAAAAATGTATCAGTTTCCACAAAAATATGAACACTGATAATAATCATAAATGTGTCTTGAGCATCAGATCCTCATATTAGAGTGATTTCTGAAGGATCATGTGACACTGAAGACTGGAGTAATGATGCTGAAAATCACAGGAATAAATTACACTTTACTGTATATTCACATAGAAAACAGATGATTTACATTATAATAATATTTCACTGTTTTTACTGTATTTTGATCAGATAAACACAGCTTTGGTGAGCAGAAGAGACTCTTGAATGGTAGTGTTTACTGTCTGAAAGAAAGATTTCACAATCAACCACATTAATTATATCAGTTATAGTTTGTTAAACAAACGTTTTCTTCCCCGTTCCTAAAGTCAGCATGAAAACATTTATCCTCCTATCTCAGAATGAAACGAAATATTCTACAAGCAACTGATGGTGAAAGTGTCTCGTTTACAATCGGAACGGTAATTAAGAAAGAAAATAGTGTGAGTTTTGATTTCATGTTGACGTTATGACTGGAAATACATTTATGAAATAAAATACTTTTCTCCTGAATGTGATTTATATTCTTTATTTGTGTGCAAAAACCTCGAGTTAATGTTGATTAACTAACAATGAGCAAAACATGCGCGACTTCGTTTGCATTAATAAAAACAGCTGTTCATCTCAGCTCAGGTCCATTAAAATTATATATATATATACATATTTAATGTAATATACAACTTTTGATTTTAACAATTAGTTAATATTAATTAATAAATGCTTTAAATATACAGTAGTGGCGCGACGTCCGGCCTTGGAAAACTGACATCATCCTTTATTAAAATATTATTAAAGATTTTGTAATCATATTGCATATGTGTGCTTGGAGTCGATTGTATTGTTTGAGATAATAACGCAATGAAACATGACGAATTATCATTTTAGTCAAGGCTGTCGATTAAAGAAATGATGAACACATGCAAAAACCAACTAATATTAATAACTGAATATGTTTTAATCAATGTTTGCTTTTTCCTCTGAGATTTTTGTTTTCTATGCATGCATTTTGCATAATAAAATAAAACCTGTAGCTGTAGTTTTTGCCAAATAATTTGTTCAATTCCCTCACACTCGAGATTAATAGCTTATTTTTGATATTTATTTAATTAACTTTGCTATATTTACACATTTAATGTAATACAATAGATTTTAACAATTAGAAAATGTTGAAATTAACATTAACTAAGATGAATAAATGCTTCAAATCTACAGAAGTGGACAAAAGAGGCGTCCGGCCTTGGAAACTGACATCTTCATCCTTTATTCAAATATTATTAAAGATTTTGTAATCATATTGTCATAGTGTAAATCATGTGTGCTTGGAGTCGATTGTGTTTGAGATAATAACGCAATGAAACAAGACGAATTATCATTTTTGTCAAGGCTGTCGATTAGAGAAATGATGAACACACGCTTTAATACCAAAATATTAATAAGGAATATGATTTAATCAATGTTTGCTTCTTCCTCTCAGCTTTTTGTTTTTCTATGCATGCATTTTGCATAATAAAATAAAAGCTGTTTGCCATAATCTCGAGTGCTGTGCTCTTCCTCACTCTCCAGAATAATTGCTTATGTTTCCCCGAGCCTCAGAGATATGATTCTGTACCGCGTGAGCGAGGTTTGGCGGGTTAAAGCCGCACACATCTGACCTGGACGTCTCAGCACAACAAGTGCAGATCTGAGGAGCTCCTGGAGGAGCCGGGATCGATGCGGGATCCGGCGGATCCGAGTGTGTGTCCGGCGTGGAGGTGAGCGGAGATGACAGGCTTCATTACTGGAGTCCCTGAGGAGCGCTCCTGATGCATGATGGGACAGATCGCTGGAAAGGTCAAGAGCAGACAAATCAGGCTGGCAGGAGCTGTGAAGCCGGAGCGCAGCATCATGTTCATGTTCCTCCTCGGCTCTGTCTCCAGCGTAACATTCCCAACCCGAGAGAAGAACAGCACTGAAGACATCAAGACGTGTTTGAGGAAACATGCGCCATAATGAGGAGTTTGTGCTTAACACAACAACAATAAACTAGAAAATCAAGATTATTGCTCGGACTCCATTGGCAGATATTTGTTCTTGTTCTTGTTATCTTCAGTCATTGTTCTTGTCTCTTGATTTATGAATGTTTAGATATTTGTGCTGGAAAACGAGACAGAAACACTGAGGAAGAACGTCATTATTATTATTATTATTATTATTAACCTTTATCTCATTGAGATTTAAAACCTCTTCTCCAAGAGAGACCTGGCCAGAATGACAGTGTATTGACAGCGCACAATAACAAACACACGTACAACAACATAACAATCAACATTGGGCTATTTAAAAGTACAATTTATACATGCTATGGATTTTAAAAGAACTAATGTCGTGTAACACTTGAGGCATTTATGTATATAAGTTTTCATAAATAATTGTAATCAAAGTTAATATGTCTTATATTGACAGATTCCTTGTTATATCTTAAATTTTTCTGTGTAACAATGAAGATACAATGCATTAAGGTGCGTTAAAAATACTTATATATATATTATTAAACATGTATCCATCCAATATAAAAGTTTGTGTCTACATAATGTGTGTATTGTGTATAATTATTTTGCACACATGCATGTATTTAAGAAGTATTTGCATGTACTGTATATATTTATTATATATATATAAAAATAACACATTTCTTAAATGTGTGTGTATTTATATGTACAAAATAATTATACACAGTACACACACATATAACACAAACGTTTATTTTGGATGGGATTAATCATTGCACATGTATATTTATTTTATATATGAAGGTTTTAAACAAAGTGTTACACTCTAAAAAATGCTGGGTTGTTTTAACCCAAATTTGGGTCAAATATGGACAAACGCAAATGTTGGGTTAAAAATGTAATTTAAAATTTTAACCCAACTTTCACTTTCAACTGTACATTTTTTAATTACATTTTTAACCCAACATTTGGGTTTGTCCATATTTGACCCAAATTTGGGTTGAAACAAAGCAGTATTTTTTAGAGTGTACCAAAGTAATTTTTGCAGTGTACTGAGGAACTGTTAATATTTCTGTTCTACAAATACGTCCTAAACTGTGGCGTTAAACGAGCCTTCGCTGTAAAGCTGAGCGATGTGTGAAACGCCTGTATTAAATAACTTGAGTTGAATTGAATGATAAACTGTTGTGTCTGATCATTAACTGAGTCGTCTCTCCGGCTCCTCCTCTAACGTTTAATATAATCCATAACCCGAGGTCTGCTTTTATATGATATTGTCAGCGTAGCGTATGGATTCTGCGAGTGTGTGTGTGTGTGTGTCTGAAGTCTCCGGCCGTCTCCGCTGACAAGAGAATCATTTACAGTTTCTGCCGCATCGATCCAGTAATGACACGTCTAACCCGCTGGAACTCCACAATTATTACCCCAAAGATCCAGTCCTGCAGGTCTTTACAATTAGAGCTGGAATCATCATGACGAGTCTGACACCTCGACACACACACACACACACACACTGATCCACTCACTCACCAAATAATCACTTTCAGATGTTTTACACACACGACCGGCCAACGTTTCAGTAATTAAGATTCTTAATGTGTCTGAAAGAGTCTCTTCTGCTCACCAAAGCTGCGTTTATCTGATCAAAAATACTGTAAAAATAGTGAAATATTATTATAATGTAAATCATCTGTTCTCTATGTGAATATACAGTAAAGTGTAATTTATTCCTGTGATTTTCAGCATCATTACTCCAGTCTTCAGTGTCACATGATCCTTCAGAAATCACTCTAATATGAGGATCTGATGCTCAAGACACATTTATGATTATTAGCAGTGTTCATATTTTTGTGATTTTTTTGATGAATTGAAAGAATTTGAAACAGAATCTTTTGTAACATTATAAATGTCTTTACTGTCACTTTTGATCAATTTAATGTGTCGTTGATGAATAAAAGTATTCATTTTCGAAAATCCTAAAACTTTTAAATGTTAATGCATCACGATGTGCACAAAAAAATGAAAATGCTTTCAACACTGCTAATAATCATAAATGTTTCTTGAGCATCAGATCCTCATATTAGAGTGATTTCTGAAGGATCATGTGACACTGAAGACTGGAGTAATGATGCTGAAAATCACAGGAATAAATTACACTTTACTGTATATTCACATAGAAAACAGATGATTTACATTATAATAATATTTCACAATTTTACAGTATTTTTGATCAAATAAACGCAGCTCTTCTTTCAGAAACACACATCTCGTTTTCTAGCGTTGAACGGCGTCTAACAGTCGTGGAGTGTGTGACGGCACACACACACACAGCATCCGCTGGCAACAATATTAACAACACAGGGTTATTAAAATCACGATCAGTGCAGAGAAATCTATCAACCTTCAAATT